AAGTTATAATCTTGACTTGTTGTCGCACTGAACACTTCTGCATCAATACTCTGCAATTTCTTCCCAGTGGCCTGTACTACGCTCCAGTACTCTTGACCATGACCGTCGGAGATCAATATGAAGACCTGGAATCGCCAGAATGATTATGAACTGAACTGCACTACAGAATATAGTAAAAATCTCTTCTACCTTACGTCCTCGAATATGGAGTTTCATGAAACGACGGTGTGATGTGAAGGAATTCTTTCAAGATTCCGTTGCTTCCCGAAAAATAATCCCAAGGAATCCTTCCCAAAAAACATTCCAGCAAGATTCAGTAAAAGAGGGATTCCAAAAGTCTCTCCTCCTATGAAAGTTGATCTACTGCATAGTCGCGTATTGCATACTTCAGTCTTCACATATTTCCCACATAATTTCATCAGCTTCTTATTCTAACGTTTATATGGATTCTGAATTCAAGTAATGTGAATTTCAGACTCTCAGGTGCGCTATTTGAGTTGTCTTGAATAAATCAGTTCACCTGAGTTGCGTCCTTTCGTCGTGCTGTCTCCAGCTCAGCAATAGCTAAATCAACTGCTGCAGCTATTCGTGTGCTCTGCCCAGTGAATTCAATCTCGGAAATCTTTTCAACAATTTCATCCTGTGTACGATTCCTACTGAACGGAATCACAATGGATGGTGCAGAAGAAAATCTTATCAGACCAACCTAAAATTCGCACTTATTTGAGTTGCTGTCACTGTGTGATCAAATAAACGGAACAGTTTCTGAACACTTTTCGAGAGCTTATTTCATGGCTGACAGTTTCTGAATCTGCATTTCTGAATCGTTAGAACACTAGAGCCATATCAAGTGGTCTCTGAATTTCGTGCAACTAGTTGTTGAAAATGACCGAAGATTGGTCGAGGAGTCAGTATGGGTTTCATAGCCATGGAATGACTTACTTGAAGCCTTCCGTCAACAAACGCCGAACTGTTGATGGATTGAATGAGACCTTTTGCGAATTCGCGTTCGTCGGCAAATGCCTTATAAACTGAACCACTTGTGTCCAGAACGATCATCAAATCCACCTTGAATGTCGTTAATATTTTAAAAACATTTCGGTCGTATTCCACAATCCATC